CAGGGAAATAATACAGTGATGGAATATTTCAATAAGCTAAAGAAACTCTGGGATGAATATACGTGTGTTGTGCCATTTCAAAGCTGTGACTGTGAAAAAGGAAAGTTGAATGCTCGACATGAAGCAGAAAGCAAATTGATACAGTTTTTAATGGGACTGAGTGATGCATATGACCATGTGAAGAACCAAATCATGCTAATTGATCCTTTGCCATCTGTGAACAAAGCTTACTCCATGTTACTTACAGCTGAGAGGCAAAGGACAATGCGTGATGAATATGGAGGAAGGTTTGAGAATTTGGCGATGGTGGCAAAAACAGAAGCCTATGGCAGAGGATCATATGGACAAGGAAGGGGAGGTGCTGGTAGAGGATGGCAAAATGGAGGCAGAGGTAGAGGAAACTTTCAAAGACTCACCAGAGAAGAGAAAGCTAGACTTATATGTGAGAAATGTGGGATGAGAGGACACACAACCACAACATGCTTTAAAATACATGGAGTACCTGATTGGTACAAGGAGCTGAGGGACCAACAAGGTAAAAATTTTGTAAATGCAGCTGAAGTGCAAGGGTACACAGATAACATAAAGCAAGCTGGAGAAGTAAGAGAAGAGGGTAAACTTCTTGATCTGAATTCAGTTGTTATGCAACTGAACGAGCTCACCAAATATATCAAAGGAAAAGAGGAATTGGAAGGAAAATTGAATTATGCACAATTTGTGAGTTTTGTTGAAAAGGATGATGAAGATGATGTGCACTATGCTTTATCTGCTTTAGAAATGATTCAACAAGGAGAGTGGATAATAGATACTGGTGCCAGCAAACATATTTGCAAAGATAAACAAGTGATGAGAAAATTAGAGATGCTGAAGAATCCTGTGGAAGTATGTTTACCAGATGGGACACTGAAAACAGTAAAGTACAAGGGAGAAGTGGTGCTTGATGAGAATGTCATACTGAAAGAAGTATTGCTAATACCAACCTTCAAATATAACCTGCTTTCAGTTATGCAAATGTGCACTGGAAGTGGACTGAGGTGGATTTTCAATGGTGTTCATTGTCACTTAGAAAGTGAAGAGACTGGGCTAATACATGGATATGGAAGACTGTCAAGAGGTTTATATGTATATGAGAGGAAAAGATCACAAAACCAGCCCACAATATCTTGTAACCTGTCGGTTGAAACATGGCATAGATGTCTTGGACATGCCTCATTCTCAGCCTTGAGGCATATTGGCTTTTTGAAAGAGAGTTGCAGCAAAGAGGTGGAAAAAACCTTGCATTCATGTGACATCTGCTACAAATCTAAGCATCACAGACTTTCATTTCCCAGAAGCAGCATTCAGACCAAATGTTGTTTTGAGTTACTGCATATAGACATCTGGGGCCCTTGTAGAGAAGAATCTTTGCTACACACTCCATACTTCCTCACTATAGTTGATGACTATAGTAGAGGATCTTGGGTTTTTCTCATGCAACACAAGTCACAGGCAGGGAAAATGATACAGAACTTCATTTCTATGGCCAAAACTCAGTTTAAGAGCAAAGTGAAGAAAATCAGAACAGACAATGGAAGGGAATTCATTGATACACACTTGCAGGAGTACCTTGATTCAAAGGGAATACTACATGAGACCAGTTGTGCCTATTCCCCACAACAAAATGGGGTAGTAGAGAGGAAGCACAGGCATTTACTGGAAGTAGGAAGAGCACTGCTGTTTCAAGGAAATCTACCTTTAAAATTTTGGCCCTTTTCAGTCTTGGCAGCTGCTTATGTTATCAATCGAGTTCCTTCTCAGCTACTGGAGTGGAAAACACCTTATGAAAAACTATATGGAGAACCACCAGACTACAGAAGACTTAAGCCTTTTGGATGTCTTGCTTATGCTGCTAATATACTCCTTGGTAAATCTAAATTTGAAGCCAGAGGAAACAAATGTGTGTTTTTGGGTTATGCTGTGGGCAAAAAGGGTTTTCAATTGTTTGATATTGATTCTGAAACCTTACTTATCAGTAGAGATGTGGTTTTCATTGAAGAAACCTATCCTTATGCTCTTCAACCAGCACAACAGACTAGCACATTGCCACAGTCCATAGCAGATTGTGATGATGATGTTGAAACTACACCTTCAGAACCAGCTGACACTTCTCCTATTATTCATGCTGCTGCAGACCCTTGTCTGCAAAGAGGTGGAAGGAATAGAAGGGCACCTGCCTGGCATAATGATTATGTGTGTGTCAATGTTACAGATTCAGATTCTATGGCTTTCATGGCTAACATTGCCATTGATAAGGAGCCCACACATTATGGAGAGGCAAAGAAACATCCTGCTTGGGTTACAGCCATGGAGGATGAACTGAAGGCATTGGAAATAAACCAGACTTGGGAACTCACTACTTTACCTATGGGAAAAAAGGCCATTGGGTCTAAGTGGGTATACAAAATCAAAAGAAAATCAGATGGGACAGTGGATAGGTTCAAAGCAAGGCTCGTGGCCAAGGGCTACAATCAACAAGAAGGAGTGGATTTTTTTGATATTTTTTCTCCAGTTGCCAAACTAGTCACTGTCAGAATTTTCATAGCCATAGCCACAGTGAATAAGTGGCCTCTACACCAAGTTGATGTCAACAATGCCTTCCTCCATGGCACACTCACTGAGGAAGTTTACATGCAACCCCCTTGTGGGTATCTAAAAGCCAAACATGGTGAGGTCTGTAAGCTAAAGAAGAGCCTATATGGCTTAAAGCAAGCCTCACGGGAATGGAACAAAGAGTTAAGTGACAAGCTTTCAGTGTTTGGACTGGTTCAGTCTGCCCATGACCATTGTCTTTTCACTTTGCACAGGGGAGAGCACTTCATGGCCATTCTTGTCTATGTGGATGATGTGTTACTCACCAGCAACAATGAGGGTCTTGTGCATGAACTTAAAGATTTTCTAGATAAGGCATACACCATTAAGGACCTCGGGCCTGCCAAATACTTCTTAGGTGTTGAAGTTGGGAGAACTGCTCAAGGGACTACTCTTTGTCAGAGGAAATATGTCCTGGACCTCCTTGGTGATATGGGGATGTTAGATTGCCATTCAGTGATCACACCACTACCTTGTGGCCTCAAGTTACAATCTGAAGATGGTACTCCTTTGTCACAACCAGAGCAGTACAGGAGAGTCATTGGAAGACTCTTGTACCTTAATCTCACTCGACCTGACATTACTTATGCCGTGCAGCAGTTAAGCCAGTTTGTTAACTCTCCATATAGCTCTCATTGGGATGGAGCCATGCATGTACTCAGATATTTGAAGGGCACCTCTTCTCATGGTCTGTTTTTTCCTCAAGACAGTCATTTTGGCCTAAGTGCTTACAGTGATGCGGATTGGGCATCTTGTAAGGACACTAGACGATCTGTTACTGGGTTTTGCATCTTTCTAGGTGGCTCACTCATTTCCTGGAAGACCAAGAAGCAGCTCACGGTTTCCCGTTCCTCAGCTGAAGCCGAGTACCGTGCCCTCAGCTCTACCGTTTCCGAGTTGCTGTGGATTGGTTACATCCTTCATGACTTTGGCGTTTCTGTTCTTTCTCCTATCCCTTTACAGTGTGATAACAAGGCCGCTCTACATATTTCTGCCAATCCGGTGTTTCATGAGAGGACCAAGCATCTAGAAATTGATTGTCATTTTGTGAGGGATAAATTCAAGGCCGGTTTTGTGCAGCCTATGCATGTTCCCTCTCATCTCCAACTGGCTGATGTTTTTACCAAGATACTGCCTGGGAAGCAACACAGGTTCTTATTGTCCAAGTTGAGCATGTCTCAACCATGCTCCACTTGAGGGGGGGATGTTGGAATATGTGCTTGTGCATGGTGAATGAAGTATAAAGAGTGAAGACTACAATGAAGACCATTTTCCTTTTTGTTCTGTTACCAAAGAAAAACGGGTTTTACTTTTTCTGTTGCCTTTTTATTAAATAGCTACGACGTCGTTTTATGTTAGTAAGGGGGATAAAGAGTACGATGTCGTTTCTGGTTAGTTTGCATGTGAGTAAGTATAAATAGGTCACCTTCTTCTCTGTGCATGTACGACAATTTACAAAATATATGAAAATGGAGTTTGTGAGTTTTATGTCCGATTTATAAAATTCAACAAAATTTATGATTTATGTAGTTATACGATGATTGTCGGCAGATATTTGTTTGGTGATGAAGTTGTTAACAGCTCACCTGAGGTCAAGATTATGTTTGAAGATTCTTTTAGAATCTCATGTTCTTGTTTAAAAGTTTTTTTTTTTTTTCAAATTAGTGACTTCTTTTGCTAATCTGTCCATAACTATGTACCAATCCAAACAATGGATTTTCTCTTCCACCACTCCAATTATTATATCGATATACTTTTCTCACAAGTATTTATATATTTTGATTCGCTATAATATAGCATGACGGATTGATTCATATAACAATGAAGCTTGTCATATAAATTTGTGAAATCACTCCAAGTTAATTTTACATTTTACAAGCTTTGTTTGAAATTAAATTATTTCACATGAGAATCAATATACCTGCTTGTTTTTGAAATTTTATCTGGTTACATGAGAATTTTTAAACCCGAATAATGCCATTTCGACATAATGTATTAGACATAATGGTTAATATAATGATGTGTGAGCATTTTGATTTGTTGATTCGATTTTAAAGTTGATATGTAATGTGAATGATAAGATCATGTCACGTAAAATAAGAGTACTGCTGTACTTTATTGTTTTCAGTTAAATAGTCATACTCTTTATATATACGTTCAAATTATAAAATGTCATACTAACATAAACACAAATCTAATATGCCCAACATAAGACTGTCATTAAAAAAATAAAAAAATAAAATAAAAGAAAAGGGAGAAAAATGGAGAAAAAGTAGAGAAAATATTAAGACCCTACAACATAATTTATCCACGTATGATATATATATGATGTTATATATATGCATCCAAATTCTGGTGGGAGCATTAAACACCAATAATGTAATGTAATAAATAAATAGGCAGATGAAGAAAAAGAAAAGAAACACAACAAATTGAATTCGCCCAACAAAGAGAACCCACATTTTTGTTTCATTTTCGCATCATTTTAATCTAAATTATTTTACAATATTTTTAGGAGTGATATGTACACATATATGTATATCTATTACGTAATTGCAGCATTTTTCAATTATCATATTCTCGTTCGGGTAGTTGCCGAGTAAAACTCACTGCAATCAATTTTCTTGAAAAACCTTTTCTTGGATCCATCGTATGAGGAGTGAGGACCATCATTTTTATACCCATTTTCTCTCTTCCTTTTGATCTCTTGCAGCAGATACCTTAATATTTTCTGTAATTATGTATAAATTTTCATGAATATTTACGGTCTCAAAAAAAAAAGGATGAAATACTTTCATAGCAGTGTGCATAAGAGCACATTTTCCTCAATTATTGTGAAATTTGGGATATGTGTTCTGTTCTTGGGGCTCGCCTATCGCTTGTTTTCATCGAGTTTGGTTCAATTTTCCCCCGTTATTGTGGCTGAGGATGATGAAATGGGTTTCGACAAAACCTCGCCGGCCCAAGCGGCGGCGGCGGCGGCGTCTGAGCCGTCGTCGGAGCAGCCGCCCGGTAGTGATCTTTACGGAAATCCCGATGATAATCGGACTTCCGACAACGGTAAGCTGATTTCTTTATCCTTTCCTTTTATATTCTTTTTTTTATTGAAGAAATAGATGCATACTATTTTGCTGCTTCTTTTTTCTAATTCTGAACATTTTTTAGTGAATGAAGAAGAAGAACACTGAAAAATCATTTCTTTCTTTGTTAATTACTTATATTTCCTGTAAATCCATCTTCAATCAGCCTTCATTGTAATTTAACTAATATTATTCATGAATATTGTGAAGGGCATAATCTATATCACTATATGCACTTGAGTATCTGAACTAGTCAGTAGTTAGTGAACTTTTTACATGTATACAGTAGCTGCTCTGTTCATAATGTTAGAATAATGAATTCTTACAGTATCTTCCGAATTCTACATGTGTGTGTTTTACTTTTTTACCGCGATTTCTCGAATCTTGCAACTGCAGGGAAGTGCAATTTGTTTGTAGGAGATTGGGTGCACGACCCAGATGGACCACGCTACACAAACTCCACTTGCCAAACTATTGAAGATCCCCAAAACTGCATGACGAATGGGCGGCCGGATTTCGATTACGTCTACTGGAAGTGGAAACCGAGGGACTGTGATCTGCCCAAATTCGATCCTAAGAAGTTTCTCAATATGATGCGGCATAAGTCGCTCGCGTTTATTGGCGATTCGATTATGCGCAATCACGTGCAGTCCTTGCTCTGCATGCTCTCGGAGGTGATTCTTTCAGTATTAAAATTTTATTGATGTTCGATATTTTGGGAATTCTTTTTGTCGATAGCATTTCGCGACTGTTATTTGAAATTTAGGGAGACATTAGTTTCTTTGTGTTTTTAGTTCTCAAGTTTAGCTTCAAATTCTGCAGAATATTAATCGGATTCTAAAAACAGGTGGATGTGTGCTTCTTTTTTCTTGTTCTTCTCCTAATTTGGGCTTTTACACTCAAATTAGTTTGCAGGTTGGTTGTTTTAGACATATGAAGGGTGGAGAAAAATAATTGTACATCTGCTGGTAATGTATATTCATTATTCTGAAATACGATGATGCTCCAAAGCTCCTGTGATTCCATTGTAGCTGTTGCATGTAAAATGATGTGTAGGAAGAGATTATTTACAGTTGATTTCATGATTAGTTTCTTTTTCTGCATATATTTCAAAGATTTTTTTTGTAGCTGTGTGTTTTACATATCTGTTGGTTGTGGCAATTATATATGTACGTTATCATGTCTAATTCTGAGCTGCATAGATTTGGTGTGTGGTTTTGTAGTGGTTTGCTAGTCTCTATCAGGATATATTTATCATACCTATAATCCAACTGACATTTAAACTAACACATTGATTTGCTTGATCTTGAGTAGCTGTGTCATGATCACTGTTGTAAACTTTGACTAACCACACATATTTTTAGTTTTCCAGTGTCCTGCAAGTAAACCCATTCCCAAACTTTATGGGACTAAACAAGTCCTCAAAGTTGTGGGTAATATCTATATATGTCCAAATGCAATCTTTATGCAATCCATTATTTTATCATTGTCAGCATTTTCACTCATCAAACAATGAAATAAGTTTCACCAAGCAGCATGCATCATATGAACCGAAACCATTACGAAAAAAAAAAAACCCCATCAATCTTCAAAATTACAAAAAACCCTCCTCAACGCATTTTTTCCTTCTACAAGGGGGCACCGGCAAAGCTAGACTCGAGTTTCTCTTTTTTATTTTCTCTGAAAAAATACTGTTTTTAATTCGCAGGTTGAACGAGCCGTGGACATCTACCATGACAAGCCCTACAAAAACCGAAAATGGTCTTTCCCATCTCACAACCTAACAATCTCCCTCGTCTGGTCCCCTTACCTCACTAAAGCAATCACCTTCGAAGACGACAATGGGGTCTCGACGGGCCTTACCCAGCTCCACCTCGACAAGCCCAATCCCATATGGGCCCACCAAATCCAAAACCTCAACTACGCCATAATAGCCGGAGGCAAGTGGTTTCTCAAATCCGCGCTCTACTACACAAACAACACACTAATCGGCTGCCACAACTGTCACGACCCAAACATAACTCAACTGGGCTTTGCTTACGCCTACCGTAAGGCGCTCCACACAGTCTTCGAATTCATGATGGGCTCAAAAAACGGGCCTTTGGTTGTTTTTCGATCGACGGCTCCAGATCATTTTGAGAATGGGGAGTGGGATTCGGGAGGGTATTGTAACCGGACGAGGCCGTTTAGGGTTGGAGAGGTTAAAATTGGGGACATGGATGAGGTGATGAGGAGGGTGGAGCTTGAGGAGTATGGGAATGCGGTGAAAAGGGGTTTTTTTACTGGACAGGTGAAAGTTAAGCTTTTTGACGTGACTTTGGTGTCGTTGCTGAGGCCGGATGGGCACCCGAGTGTTTACAGGCAGTTTCACCCTTATGAAGGGAGGGATGGGAAGAAGAAGGGGAGGGTTCAGAATGATTGTCTGCATTGGTGCTTGCCTGGACCTATAGATGCTTGGAATGATTTGGTTATGGAGATGCTTGTTGAGGATTTGGAATGATGTGTTTTTTTTATTTTTATTGTGTGTGTGTGTGTGTGTGTGTCTGTTTGAGAATGCATTGCTTGTTGTTGGACATGGGATTCTTTGAGATGCAT